CTCCAGGACAGGCCTGTAGGACAGAGAAAGGGTGGGCATGCTCTCGCTCTCCTCCACCCTCTATCCCCCACAGCTCACAGGCAAGCAGGACACGGGGCTCTGGGAGACAGTTGAGCACCAGCAGATACACCGTCTGCAGGGCTGCCCAGTGGTACCCACACCTCAGCTGATCCCTCTGCCTAGGCCCACTCTCCAGGACTGATCAGTCTGAACTGCCAGCGACCCCATTCCCAGTGGGCTGGGCCAGGTGCACGTCAGAGGGAGTCCTCTAGGGTGCCTCTCTGTACCCTCCTCTGCTCTGTCCCTGGAGGAGAGGTGGCCATGGGAGGGAGAGCCCCTCTCTGAATAGCACCTTCTTGCATGGGCTCCACACACCACCCCTGCATCAGAGCATTAGGGTTAGGGTTAGGGTTAGGGTTAGGATTAGGGTTATGATTTAGGGTTAGGGTTAGGGTAATGATTTACGGTTAGGGTTAGGGTTAGGGTTAGGGTTAGGATTAGGGTTATGATTTAGGGTTAGGGTTAGGGTAATGATTTACGGTTAGGGTTAGGGTTAGGGTTAGGGTTAGGATTAGGGTTATGATTTAGGGTTAGGGTTAGGGTAATGATTTACGGTTAGGGTTAGGGTTAGGGTTAGGGTTAGGATTAGGGTTATGATTTAGGGTTAGGGTTAGGGTAATGATTTACGGTTAGGGTTAGGGTTAGGGTTAGGGTTAGGATTAGGGTTATGATTTAGGGTTAGGGTTAGGGTAATGATTTACGGTTAGGGTTAGGGTTAGGGTTAGGGTTAGGATTAGGGTTATGATTTAGGGTTAGGGTTAGGGTAATGATTTACGGTTAGGGTTAGGGTTAGGGTTAGGGTTAGGATTAGGGTTATGATTTAGGGTTAGGGTTAGGGTAATGATTTACGGTTAGGGTTAGGGTTAGGGTTAGGGTTAGGATTAGGGTTATGATTTAGGGTTAGGGTTAGGGTAATGATTTACGGTTAGGGTTAGGGTTAGGGTTAGGGTTAGGATTAGGGTTATGATTTAGGGTTAGGGTTAGGGTAATGATTTACGGTTAGGGTTAGGGTTAGGGTTAGGGTTAGGATTAGGGTTATGATTTAGGGTTAGGGTTAGGGTAATGATTTACGGTTAGGGTTAGGGTTAGGGTTAGGGTTAGGATTAGGGTTATGATTTAGGGTTAGGGTTAGGGTAATGATTTACGGTTAGGGTTAGGGTTAGGGTTAGGGTTAGGATTAGGGTTATGATTTAGGGTTAGGGTTAGGGTAATGATTTACGGTTAGGGTTAGGGTTAGGGTTAGGGTTAGGATTAGGGTTATGATTTAGGGTTAGGGTTAGGGTAATGATTTACGGTTAGGGTTAGGGTTAGGGTTAGGGTTAGGATTAGGGTTATGATTTAGGGTTAGGGTTAGGGTAATGATTTACGGTTAGGGTTAGGGTTAGGGTTAGGGTTAGGATTAGGGTTATGATTTAGGGTTAGGGTTAGGGTAATGATTTACGGTTAGGGTTAGGGTTAGGGTTAGGGTTAGGATTAGGGTTATGATTTAGGGTTAGGGTTAGGGTAATGATTTACGGTTAGGGTTAGGGTTAGGGTTAGGGTTAGGATTAGGGTTATGATTTAGGGTTAGGGTTAGGGTAATGATTTACGGTTAGGGTTAGGGTTAGGGTTAGGGTTAGGATTAGGGTTATGATTTAGGGTTAGGGTTAGGGTAATGATTTACGGTTAGGGTTAGGGTTAGGGTTAGGGTTAGGATTAGGGTTATGATTTAGGGTTAGGGTTAGGGTAATGATTTACGGTTAGGGTTAGGGTTAGGGTTAGGGTTAGGATTAGGGTTATGATTTAGGGTTAGGGTTAGGGTAATGATTTACGGTTAGGGTTAGGGTTAGGGTTAGGGTTAGGATTAGGGTTATGATTTAGGGTTAGGGTTAGGGTAATGATTTACGGTTAGGGTTAGGGTTAGGGTTAGGGTTAGGATTAGGGTTATGATTTAGGGTTAGGGTTAGGGTAATGATTTACGGTTAGGGTTAGGGTTAGGGTTAGGGTTAGGATTAGGGTTATGATTTAGGGTTAGGGTTAGGGTAATGATTTACGGTTAGGGTTAGGGTTAGGGTTAGGGTTAGGATTAGGGTTATGATTTAGGGTTAGGGTTAGGGTAATGATTTACGGTTAGGGTTAGGGTTAGGGTTAGGGTTAGGATTAGGGTTATGATTTAGGGTTAGGGTTAGGGTAATGATTTACGGTTAGGGTTAGGGTTAGGGTTAGGGTTAGGATTAGGGTTATGATTTAGGGTTAGGGTTAGGGTAATGATTTACGGTTAGGGTTAGGGTTAGGGTTAGGGTTAGGATTAGGGTTATGATTTAGGGTTAGGGTTATGATTTAGGGTTTTATTTAGCATTAGGGTTAGGATTATAATTTAAGGTTAGGTTAGGGTTATGATTTAAGTTTAGGGTTAGGGTTATGATTTAGGGTTAGGGTTATGGTTAGGGTTATGATTTAGGGTTAGGCTTATGATTTAGGGTTAGGGTTAGGGTTATGATTTAGGGATACGGTTAGGGTTAGGGTTATGATTTAGGGTTAGGGTTAGGGTTATGGCTCTGCCCAGGATACTCTTAGGGTTAGTGTTAGGGATAGTGTTATTGCACTGCCTAGGGTTAGGGTTAGGGTTAGGGTTAGGGTTAGGGTTAGGGATAGGGTTATGGCTCTTCCCAGGATAGTGTTAGGGTTAGGATTAGGGCAC